AGTCACTGATTGGTTTTGATCATTGATGCTACTTACTTGATGACTAGGCTTGGGCTCACAATGCTCATCTTACTAGATACCAGGATGAGCAGGTCCATAAATGCCTTTCTTTCTTGATACCAGGATGAGCAGGTTCATAAATGCCTATCTTTCTTGATACCAGGATGAACAGGTTTAGAATGCCTGTCTTCGCTGATCCTGGGATGAGCAGGTTCATAAATGCCTGTCTTAGCTGATACTGGGATGAGCAGGTTCATAAATGCCTGTCTTAGCTGATCCTGGGATGAGCAGGTTCATAAATGCCTGTCTTAGCTGATACTGGGATGAGCAGGTTCATAAATGCCTGTCTTAGCTGATACTGGGATGAGCAGGTTCATAAATGCCTGTCTTAGCTGATACTGGGATGAGCAGGTTCATAAATGCCTGTCTTAGCTGATACTGGGATGAGCAGGTTCATAAATGCCTGTCTTAGCTGATACTGGGATGAGCAGGTTCATAAATGCCTGTCTTAGCTGATACTGGGATGAGCAGGTTCATAAATGCCTTATTTGATAACTGGGATAAATAGATCATAATGCCCATCTTACTTGATATCAGGATGAGTGGATCCATAATGCATATCTTTCCCATAATCCTAAAATCCTAGAGTGAATGTCATACATTCAATTGTTCAAAACAAAAACAAAATACCAGGCTGTTGACATTATATACATGCCTTTAATCCCAGCACTGTGGAGGCAGAAGCAGGTGGATCATTGTGAATTAGAGGCCAACCTAAAAAGCTATTCAAGAACCATCAGCACCACCATGTGTGTGCTGGAAATCAAACCTGGGTTACATGCAAGAGCAACAAGTGCTCTTAACTTCTAAGTCATCTCTCTGACTCCTGGGTTCGGTCCTCATCAAAGTAGTAGTCTGGATGAAAGGTTAGAGGCTACTGAGAAAAGTAAACACGACAGTCCATTCCCTCAGCACGGATTGGCTTTTTACAAATGCCTACGTTTCAAGGGAAAGTTATAAGGTATGCAAAGAGAAGTTTCTCTATAGAGTGGATGATAGTTAATAGAGACAACCAGAGAAAGTGAAGAGAATATATGAGACTATGGAGTGCTAAGCCCTAAACCTGACATCTACATCACACCCTTTCCCTCACTCAAAGCTCAAAGAACATCTAAGAGGAGGGGCAGAAAGAGTACAAGAACCAGAGTCAAGTTGCTGTGAAATGTCTTCTGGACATGACTGGAGACACTGCACCCAGGAACTCATAGCCACTGTGCTTGCTGGAATAAGATCTGCACAAGATCAAGCAGTCAGTACCCCAGTATAAGATCCCACCCCTGCCCAAGGAGATAATGGCACTTAAGGGCTGACTGCTCCAGGAGGGAGTGTCTGTTTTCTTCAGTGGTTCATGGTCATTGTCCCATGCTCCAGGAGGACATCCATGAGTACTATGGGTAGCTCTATTTAGACTCAATGGATTTGTTGTTTGTTTTTTGGACATATAAGTTGTAGGCAGAATATGGAGGGTAGCCTGTGTGGAGTTGGAGAAGGGAATATTGTTGTATGTGATCTAAATACATTGTATTCACATATAAAATTACCAAAGAATACACTTTAAAATGTGGCTTTAAAACTTTTGCTCAAGAGATGGAGAGTTGATTCAGCAGCCAGGATCATGGGCTACTTTTGCAGAAGACTAGGGTTCAATTTCCAGCACCCACACACTGTCTGTAACGTCACTTGCAGAAAATCTGATGCCCTCTTCTGGCTTCCTGAAGCACCAGGTATGCATGTGCTGCAAAACACACATGCAGCTAAAACACACACACACATTCAGGTAAAACAGACACACAAACATTTTATAAAATAGAGCCTTCACTCAGGTTATTTTGCAATGCGGGTAAAATACACATGCAGGTAAAACAGACACACAAATGGTTTATAAAATTGAGCCTTCATTGAGTTACTTTGCAATGTTCTTTACTTTTCTACAAGCAGTACTAAGAGATAAAAAAAAAAAACACGTGCCTTAAACTATTGTGTAATCAGAAGACTTGTGCAGCTGCAGAAGGCACTTTTCTCTCAACTATTGAGGAACTACTGTGTCTTCAAATCTCCTCTTTTCTCAAGACACTGTTAGATGCTTTATGTGGAAAAACTTTTGGGGAAAAAAATGGAAAGGTACATGTTCATTAACTTTCACAACAGCTCGAAGACTAAAAACCTAACAAATCCTGTATCTGAGGGAAGATGTGACGCATGTGACAGGCCCTACAAGGTCCTGAGAGCCAACTACAAGCTACTCACTATCTGTGTTATGAGCAACTACAGGGGGACACTCGGATGTCACCTTTCTGCACACAAACTATCCAGGGTGCTTTTAGGAGACAGAGATGTGACAAGTTATTATAGAAGATGATACCACTTTTTAAACAGACACCTCAGAACTTCCATAAACGTAGTGTGCCTTGATCCTGGAATCCTGCCCAGGGTCTGCAAGGAAATAAAGGACAGGCACACAGACACACGTGCAGAAAAACTGGGGTCTCCAAAAGAAGCACATTCATACAACAAGGGCATCTGCTCAACCACATTCACAGCAGCATTATTTGTAATAGCCAGAACCTGAAAGCAACTAAGATGTCCCTCAACTGGATGGAGAAAATGTAGTACATTTACACAATGGAGTACTACTCAGTGGAAATAAACAATGGAATCTTGAAATTCGCTGGCAAATGAGTGGAACTAGAAGAAACCATCCTGAATGAGGTAACCCAGCCACAAAAAGACAAAAATGGTATGCACTCACTCATATATGGATTTTAGACATAGAGCAAAGGAGTACCGGCCTACAACCCACACCTCCAGAGAAGCTAGGAAACAAGGAGGGCCCTCAGAAAGACAGACATACATAGTCCCCCAGAGAAGGGAAAAGGGACAAGATCTCCTGAGCTAATTGGGAGCATGGGAGGAAGGGAGAAGGAGCAAGAAGAAAGAGGGGGAGAAGAGAAGGGGACAGGAGGACATGAGAGAGCAGGAAGATTTAGTCAGGGGAATTGAGGAGAGCAAGAAAAGAGATACAGCAATAGAGGGAGCCATTATAGGTTTAAAAAGAACTCTGGCACTAGGGAAATGTCTAGAGATCTACTAGTTAGACCCCAACTAACAATCTAAGCAGTGGTTGAGAGGCTACCTTAAATGCCCTTCTTTGATAATTGAGATTGATGACTATCTTATATGCCATCCTAGAGCCTTCATCCAGTAGCTGATGGAAGCAGACGCAGACACCCACAGCTAAAAACTGAGCTGAACTCTGGAATCCAGTTGCAGAGAGA